TTGTTCATCCAATAGAAAGCTTAAAAATACTCATAAATAACAAAAGAGGTAATTTCTGCAGGAAGTGAAAGGTTTCTTGCATGTAAATTCTTCTTGGTGGAGTCATATCCAGGGTCAGTGGTGTTATTTAAAAATCTGTGCAGCATATATCTAAAGTTAAGGCAGTAACTGCTGTCGTGAATCTGTTTTATTGTGATGACTGGGTACATTCTTAAATAAGACTTTTAAAAACATCTATTCCTTCACTCTGGGTAGTTTTAAGCTGTTACATCCATGGCATATAGTGAAAATTGTAGTGCTGTTAAAATCCAGCTTATTGACGCAATGAGGTTTTAGTTCTAGTCATGCATTGCATGGTTGCATCTTTATTGCCACACATCTTTCTTTTTCTGTATGATCTGATCTTTCATGGCTGGATACATTACAGTTAGTAATTTGACCTTTTGGAAAGCTTTGATTCTGTCTGTGATTTTTGTGAACTTGGATTTTTTTAGGGTTTTTTTTGTGCTAGATTCATTTGCTGTGCCTCATTGGAAATGTATTAGATAGCAATGACAATTGCTCAGTTTCATATGCAAAGGGCAGCCGTGCATGAAGAGCGGTAGTTTGTGAAATAACTGCAGATGCAGGTTGTAGATTACCATGGTGTTAATGACTGCAGTTAAGAAGAGAGTTTATCTTTTTCTCAATATGGGCATAGGATCTAAAACTGAATTTTATTTATTTTATTTTTAGTACCTTGTTACACAGAAACAAATTACACAGTGATTAGGTTTTCTCCACCTTGATAATAGAAGAGGACAAAGGTAGTAAAACTTCTAATTTATTATCTATAAAGGAATGATGTGTATATATAGTTGCCTTAACAGAATACGACATACTCTAAGGGCCCCTATTTGTGAACTAAATATAGAGAGCTCTTCCTTATTCTGCATCTGGCAGTTGTAACTGTCCAGGTAGTGTTCACAGAACTTGCATTAATATTCACTGTTGGTATGCACATGACTTGAAAGTAGAGCACTCTAATATCTCTCATATTGACATTTTAGTTGAGTGATACATAAAGCCAGGAAGTCTAAAAACCCAACAACTTTCTTGTGTTCATTCTTTTTTGTTGTTGTTTGTTCAATTATGTATGAATTTTTGGTCTGAAATCTGCTGCTGCTGCTGCTAGACAAAGTATGTCACTTTTTTTTTGCTGTGGATCTCATAACCCTTTGCTGTTCCCTTATATGGCTTGTATAATGAATTAATTGTATTTTGTAACAAAAGATGAGATTTGAGTGGTTAGAAGATTCTTTTAACTGATTAGACTTCAAATAATTTTTTATTTCGGTGTTCATTGATATATTGAACTTACAGGTAAACTGCTTCTTCTCTTAATGTTTATCTTGGCAGTGGTTACTGTTCATCAAAATGGAGAACAGGTAACATTGGAACCAATTCACTAGGCAAAAAAAATCCAGAGAAAACACTCCACTATAAACCAAAACTCTACTGTAAAGGAGGATTTAAAGGTTTTGATGCTTGAAAGACTAAATAAAAATAGTACTTAGGAGTAGAGCTGCCTTAGTGATATTGCTATGTATGTTTGTATGATGTAATGATGGTCACAGCAAATATTTAAGAAATTATAGATCTAACAAATTCAAAATTGCTAACTGACTGAATGGCAGTAGTAGTGAAGCCTGAAATCTGTTACCAACATCAGCTCTTTGAAATAATCGTTCCTTTACTAGTGCTGAGTTAGGGATTAGTGCTGTGTTATGCCAGTAAAATCATTGTTATATTGGAGGTTTTTAAAAGCTCCAGTTGAAAGGCTACAGGATTTCTTCTGTTCTGTTTTGACAGATACTAAATATTGTTTTAAGAGGGGCAATTACTTTATAGCCTGCTTGCCTTTTACCAGTGGGTGTTGTTTGAAATGATAATAATTATTTTAATGAGAGAAATGTGCACTGACTGGCATTCCAGATCTCTCTCAGAAATTCTTGAGATATGTTTCCTTTTCATCTTAAGTGTGGGAAACCAGGTCTGACATTGCAGCTGTCCCCCTTATACTGAGCCATGAGCACAGTCTGAGATTTGGGTGAGGTACTAGTATGAAATTTCAGTTCATAAATTTGTGAGCCAAGAGCAGAGATTGCAGCTCAGCCCATGGAGATGATATAGAAGTGTAATAATCATCCAAATGATAGTTGGTAAATCGTATTTCCTTTTGCCATCCTGAAACACAAACTCTTGTCTGTTTACAGTGTAGGGTCAGTGGCTTTTGGGCTGCGATTACACATTCATCAGTGCTGCAATCTGAGCTGCCTTGAGCAATCTCTGCCCCCGTTACTCATGTTTCCAGCTGTTTGGTGCTGTGTGTTAGCTTGGCCATTTGTGCGACTGAATAGTGAACTGATTGAGATACTAATCTGGCAGAGGGGCTTCTTTTATTCTTCTTTTTATTGTGGATTGTTTAAGTATTTTTCCTTTTTCTTTCTCCTTCCCCTCCTGGATTCTTTGTTTTGTTTAGGTGTTTTTTTTTTCTCTGGATTCTTTCATCTTTTCTGTTTCTTGGAGGTTTAATTTTTTTTGTTTGGTTGATTTTTGGGGTTTTTTGGGGTTTTTTTTGGTTTGGTTCGGTTTTTTGGTGTTTTTTTGGGGGGGGGTTTGTTGTTTTTGTTTAACAAGCCATTTTTTTCAATTGGATCAGTTCCCTAAACTGGTTTACTTCACAAATAGTAGATGCTTGTACTGGCATAACATGGGGAATGAACTTATATGAACACAACCAGCTATAGCAGTACGAAGAGCTGGAGGTGGAGACTGCATAAATTAATATTGCTGCTAGGATTCCTCATCAGACTGTAACTTTGCAATGTGGATGTCTAAATCTGCTGTATAATACTGAACAGTTTAGCATGCTGCAGTCAACCATATTGTCCTGTTTCTGTCAAATTCCTTTGGGTTGTACAACTCACTGGTATAAGAATAGCTTTAGTGATAGAAACACATATAATTGGTATCCCACCAGCAAGATGCTTTGGGAGTTCTTAAAATTAAACATAAACTGCTGTCAACTCTTAACTAGTCCAGCTGGGAATATGGAAGGAAGAATTAGATGTACTCAGATTCTCTGTCATCAGAGATTCTGAATTGCCCTTGCAACAGCATCAGAAATTTGCACATCTCTGTTCTTTCTTGGGTAAAGTTATTAGACTTCCCTTAACTGTTTTACTCAGAGAATCAAAGAATAAATTTATGTGAGTTCTGACCATGACTAAAAGAGTTTTGTGTGTCATAATCTTGAGTTTAACTGAAATCTGTATTTTTATATATAACCTAAAATTATTTATTATGCTTTTTCACTTGGTGAGGGATTGAAAGGAACTTGGTGCTTTCACAAGTATGGACAGATGTTTAAGCAGCATATTGCAATCATTTTCTTAATTAAAATTTACACCTGAAATTATTGCTTACCTAAAACCACTGAAGATGTATCTTCAAGAAGGATCACCTAATCTTGGTTTCCATTTCTGGATATACTTGTTTCTAGGAAGGAGAAGACAAAATACCTCAATTTTTCAGGCTGCCTTGTTAAAGATGTATTTGCTGTTTCATATAATGGAATGTTTTTTGGCTACAGTAGGAATCTTCGGTGTTCTTTTCTATTTGTCTTGTGAGCTTTTGGCTGTATGGACTTTTTTTCTGGTATAATTAGCTTTTAACAAAATGCCTGTAGAAATGCAATTTGGAAAAACTCATTTGAGCATTGTTTTTGTTTCAAGGAATGTTTGGTTGTTGGGGTTTTTTTGTTAACTTTCATACCCTGAAATTTTTTTCTGTTCAACTAGGTCCCTTTCTCGTGTCTTTAAAATTGGGGATCTGTTGAAATAGCAGTATAATTATAACCTAATTCTTCTGAAATCTTTTTTGTGCAACTCATTCTACAGATATTTTGCAAAATGAATGTTACAAATATAAACTGAAATACACCTAAGAAGTAATTACAATATAAGAATTGTTTTGAAGCTGTGTATAGTGCCAAGTGGAAAATTTCCAGAACCCAGATTCGTATTTTGTGACTGGGGGTTTAAATTTCCATTAGATATGGTCACATAAGAATTCGGACAGTAAACAGCCTTCTCTATCAGCTCTGTTAATAAAACATCAAAATTTGGTAATTTTGGAATATGCTCAAAACAGCTCAGTCAGGAGAGGGAGACTAAGTTGATGACTTCTTGTTCTGCCTTTCCTGGTTGGATTTGCACTTTCAAAAGCTTTGTCAGGAAATGTAGTATGTTTGCAAAGCCTGAGTAGAAAGAAGGATTAATTGATAACTTTCTGTACTAGCCAGCACCATTCCAGCAATTCTGTTGTGTGTGTACATGCATGTACAAGAGCAAACCAAAAAGCATCATCAGATAATTTATAATGTGGTTGTAGCTTATTCATTTAACAGCAGCACTATATTTTTCTGCGTGTGAGAACTCACTTTTCAAGTTGGATTTCTTTTTTTCCAGAGGGGGAATTGTCTTTGATTTTCTGTAACTTCTTACAGGTGTCGGATGATGGTCGATATGTCTTGCTGTCTGTCAGAGAAGGCTGTGATCCAGTGAACAGGCTGTGGTACTGTGACCTACAGAAGGAGTCTCAGGGTATATCAGGTATGTGTTGCTTTGTAAGTTTGCTTCCTTTTAATACAATATAAGATTTGAAATAACTTATGTTTGAATGAAAAATCATACGTGTATTTAAATACATATATATATTCAAATACATGTATTGCTTAGCCACCTTAATGCAGAAATTAGATAAAATAAGCACTGCTAGCAGTTTAGCGTTTTTTATTATGTATCAGCAGATGAAAAACTATTCTTCTTTCAGTAGTTTGTTTAAAAGGTCACAAGTAGAAGTTGGTGTAGTATAAGTGGTCATACCAATGTATGTTCGATTTCATTCTACACCACTCATATTGTTACATGTTTAAACTTTTTTTCTTGTATTTTGAATATTTCACATATCTCCCTTCAAGCGCTGACAGCACTTTTTTTCCAAAAAGTGACTGACTTATAAATAACACTTTTTTTCTACATATAGTACTAGGAAATCCTCCAGTGTTATTTGGTAGCACCATTGTTGTTACGGTATCAACTCATATTTCAAATGCTCTTTGATGAAGTGCTCCTTCCTTGCCCTCTAGTTGGAGTAGACTTTGGCTTTTGTGTATTAGGCTTTGTAGCCACAAAGTATGATGTAAGCTGAAAGTACTTTACACCATACTTTACGCTGTTTTAGTTGGCTGGTTTAATGATTGGTAGTTTTGTATTTCCAGAGTATTGGATTGTTGAAAAGTATTCTTCTACATGTGTTTTGCATAGAACACAACTTAGCTTTTTTGATTCTTGCAGCTTCTCTCTTCAGAAACTTCAGAAACAGAATAAATACTGCAGTAGCTCTTTGTTGAATATTGGATCTCAAGAAACTTGTTCTCTTGTTTATTAAAAGAATATTTCAGACTAAAGAGGTGACACTACTACTGACTTGTCTACAACCAAACTTCTGCCAAGGCTGCCAGCAACTTCCACGTACACAGCCAGTTATTTGTATGTACTGGGCCAGGCAGGGCACCTTTATTTCTTTGGCTTCATGATCACCGTGGGAAGTTATCATCAAGGCACTGTAGAATTCTAGATTGCTTGAGCCCTAGATTACATTGTCCTTCCACAGAGAAGACATCACAGTAGCTAGAATTCCCACTGTAAGGGGTATGGCCTGTGAATGAGTCTTCCAGTTGTCTGAAGAAAGCATCATCTACTTCTTCCTAATTAGGAAGTCCATAGCATGTACTAACTACTACATACAGTAGACTACTACTACGTGCTCTATAACACGTAGTATATACCACTACAGTAGTACCCATGCTGGTCTGCGTGTTAATCTTAACCTATGAGCTATTGACCATCTCCTGAACTGTCCCAAGGCAGAGCTCCACAAATTCCAGCTGATCTTTCACATAAAAGACAATTCACCTCCTCACCTTGCCAGCCTGTCCTTACTAAACAACCTTGATCTTTCTATGGTAGCATGGCAGTCCTGTGAGCTATCCCACCAAGTCTCCATTATCCCAATGAGATTATAGTCCAGAAACTACACACAGGCTTGTAACTCCTCGTCCTTTGTTCCCATGTTGTGTGCATCAGTGTAGAGACAGTTCAGGCAGACACCCAAGTGTGCTAATTCCTCGCTACAGGTTTGAGAGCTTTCTCTGTGAGGCTGTTCTGCAGGCACTTCCTTCTTTATATGCTTGGAGAGACTCCACTTCAGCTCTGTTTTGTTGATTGCTGTGCCTCTTTCATTCTTACCACCCAGGCCCTTGACTTGCCTACCCCATCCACTTCTTCCTTTATTTGTTGAGGAATTGCTTTCTCCTCTTTTTTTCTTGTTTAAAGCTCTGCTTGCTTGTCTAACCTGCAAGGATCCTTTTGCCTTGCTTAATCCAGTGGACAGCAGTGCATCAACAGTAACCTTGAATTGGTTTTTCTCTTGGATGTATATGGATTAATGTCTCCTGTTCCTTATTTGCAGCCTGCTTTCTATGGAAATAAGACATGCTTAATCCCACTTTGCTGTTGGAAGCGTTGGCTCCCAAATGCAATCAGTTGTAATGAAAAAGCAGGAGTCCCAGTGGTCCAACCCTCACAAGAATGTGTGGGAAATCCGTTGGCCAGGCAGAGGTGAGAACATAAGCTTGTGGCATAAATTAATCTTGTTATACCTTGAAGACTCACTCAGATACCTGAGATGTGGAGAAGGCTTTGGAAGAAATTTTTATCATCTTATACTTGAACCACTTTCAGTCAAAGTTCTTTCCCCTGTGGATTTTCAGAAATATGAAAGTCAATGAAGATTTGTCTTCCAACTTTGATATTCATAACAGCTCTTTCCTGTGTGAATTCTTGGATGGCACTCTGTTTATGCTGAATCTTAATATAAATTGAGTTAGAATGTTGAATGACTTTTTACAAATCGATACACCACTAGGTTCCACTATTTCCAGTGTTCGGAGACTTGTGTCTCTTTGTTGCATACAAGCCTGTCTATGTGTTGTACTCACTTAAAAGAGGACTTTTAAGATGCTCTCTTCCTGCACATGTGTTTACTTGGATCATTATGGTGTTCAGCAGGGTTTTGTTATCACCGGGAGGTTGTGATGACCTGAGATAATGAAGTTTCAGAACCCATCTGTGGATTAGCAGGAGCAGTTATGAGCAGAGTTACATTTCTATAGAGCTCCTTAAACAACCTGCTTTCTATTCTGATTTTTCCCAGAAGTGCCATAGAGCAATTCATAGTGTGTTAGACAAGTGCCTTCTCAGAGTTGAAATGAAGTCTTAACAGCTATAACAGGGAAAATGCCCTGGAATATCATAGGCAAATAATATTGACTGATAGGGAGGTGTATGATTTAAAGGACCTATAGGGTGGACAAGTGGAGTAATTCTGTTTGGTTTTAAATTTGTAAACCCATTTCTTTGAATGGGCTGTTGGCTGAGTAGGGTATGTGATAACAATTTTGAAAAAATTTAAGCAGGAAATCTGAAAAAAGTACCAAGTTGAGGGAAGAGAGAAAATTACCTGATTAAGACACAGATGTTTGTGAAGAAGGTGTTAGAAAAAAAGAGAACTACTTGCAGGACTATTTGAGTGAATATTAGTTATTTCAGAAGTTGTACTGACTGGCAAAGAGGGATTGAGGGAAATTGAAAAATGAAAGAAAATGGATGATAATATAGGTAGCCTAGGATCTAGCAGATAGCATGTCTGATATAGATGCTGCTTAAAGGACAGAGTGATTTGACAGTGAAGCTTCAATTTAGTAACTGTAAAGAAGAAGTGAAATAACATTGGAGATTATTCCAGTCAGAATGCTTTTGCATCCTGGAGATGCTTGCTGAAGACAGAGGTTCAAATAAGTCTAAATTTGCAACTGAAAGCTGAAAATGACAATTGAATTCTTAGTTACTTATGTTTTTAACACATTATTAAGGTGATACTGACTAAACTACCTCCTGGATTGTTGAAATCGATTGACCAAGGAAAGTTTCTGTCAAGAGACAGGACTATGGTTTTGTAATGAAGAGAAAAATGTAAAAGAGCTAATAAACAAGAGACAGGACCTAATATATGGAATGTACCTCAGAACTGAAGGGACACAACTGGTATTGCAAACAATCCTTTAGCAATTTTGTACTTAGGTTGTTCTTTCCCCCTCTTTTTTTTCCGTCCTTCTGTAATAGACCTCTTACATTCATGTTCCTTTTGTCATTTCCAGTGTTTGGACCTGTCCTTTAGGAAGGAAGTTATAGAAGTATCCTTCTTTGAGATACATTGGAATTTAAGTCCTGTTTGAGCATCAGGTCAAGATAAACTCACACGTGTGTATTTATGGACTAAAGTCATGCTATGGTTGTAGAAGCTTCTGTGCTCAATGTACTGACTCTCATTCTGCAGCAATATCCTGGCTGTAGCAGCAAGGATGAATAGGCAGACCTGATTTCTCGTGTTTAAATGGAGCAAAACAAAGATTAGGACTTCTCTCAGCTATGAAGGGATCATGACTATTCCTGTCATAGGCATTTTGTAGGCTAGTTACCTGTTAGTAGCTCTTCTTGTACTGAATAGCAGTATTGTGGTTTCTAGGTTGATACCCTTGGATTCAGTGAAAGTCATTTGTGTTTTCATTATATGATTCATAGTTTGTATCCTTTTGATAGTATGTTGTACAGTTTATTTAGAAATAGTGATTGTTTTTATAATTTTACTCATTTCACTGAGGACTTAAAAAAATTTTGAAAACTTCATGCAATCGGACAATATTCCACTGGATATATAGCGGTTGGTATGTGGCAGATTTCATATGATCAAATAAAAATTTAAGTATTCTCTTTCATATATAGGCTTTATTGATACAGTTTTTCATTATTTTCACTTTTGGGGATTTGTTTGATTTAGCTGAACTAGTCTACTTCAGCACACATCTGGACATATGAAATTATATACTCATGAAATATTTCAAGTCTGGTGTCAACAAATCTCTCATACTTCTAAATTTATCTCTATTGTAAAGTCATAGCTTAGAAATAGTAAATGTGCTGTACTCAAGGGTTGTTAGAATTAAGGTTGGCGAGCTCATATATGGGATTTGTTTCTAACTTACTGTAGATTAGAAATGTGGCACAATTTTTAAAAAATATTTTTACCTAAATGTTAGGAGACCTTCTTGTTCAGAATAAAAGTTCATTTTGTGTCTGAGAGACAAAAAGACCTTTTCCCTCAAAGAGCACAGTAGCTGGTTGCATTATGTTGCTTAAATTTGCAGGGTAGAGTGGGGAAGCAGAGTGAAAAAGGGGGTATCCATCTTGGGAAAAGAAAGAAGAAACAGGAGTGCAAAATTAAACCGTACGTTTCATGTGTGGAAATAGAAAATGCTTAATAAATATCTGCCTGATAGAACTTGGAAGATGGCTGTGAATTCAGGGATGAGTCAGCTACTGTGGGAATCATCAAGCAACACAATATAGCCCATAACAAGCTTACAGGAGCTCAGATATCTCTTTCCCCAGTAGGTGAAAGGAATGTGTAATCTTCCGTTTTTACTCTTACTTATATGGCATGTTTCTATACCAAGAAAATATTTCTTTTTTAAATTTCAAATTAAATTGAACAATTTGTGGCTGTTCTGAAAAGATTAATCCAACCAGATAAGCTCATTCAGTTGAAAAAACAAAGCTATACAACCATTTTTTTGCCTTCCTAAATTGTGAACTTCTTCCATATTTATGCTCAATTACTTGTCTATCCCATTTTTGCTGTGTCTAGACAATACAAATAAAAAAGTAAATTTACACCTTTTCAATCCAAGACACTGAAGGGGAAGATCCAGATTGTTCCACAAGAATCATCAAGAAACAGAACAGAATTATTTTGCTAACAATCTAAAGTAAATTTGATGACAAGAAAGCCTCTGGTTTAACTTTCTCACAAGTTATCTTTTCATGAAACATGATTCGTCTGATATTTGCCATGTAATTATTGCTTTAATAATCTTGATTTAATGCATTTCATTACTTTCCTGCACAGCGTGAGTTGTTGCTTCTTTTTGCATATACTGCCTTTAAATAATAAGTGAGGTGATAATGATATCATCAAAGACTCTCTGCAAGAGGAACATTATATTAGTTTTGTTATACTGAAGGAAGTTGTGTTCTGTGCATTCATTGATTGCTTGTGTATTTCTCAGGATGTGATTCAGTGGATGTTAACTTGCCCTGTGTTGAATTGGAAATCATCTTAGTCTCTGAATGGAGATCACATATAATAAATGAGAGTAGACTATTTCTAAATGTTCAGGAAACTTACAGGGATTTAACTTGTCTAGTTCTATATCTGAAAATAGTGTGTTGATAGATCTTCCACCTTTACTATATGTCATGATATTTTTGTTAACAGCTGTAGATTAATCAAATTTACAGTGCAGTCTCCTGTGATATTCCTTGTCAGATTGTTTTCCTCAGAAGATAATCTACACTGCAGCGTTTCTGTTTCTTTCCATGAGCAGTACAGGGAGCATCTGAGCATCTTTTCTGCCTCCCAGATTAGCTAAAATGTTCTTCATGCTTTCCTTCCCCCCTTTGCAGGGTTTCTACTCTATACAGACCTTTTCCTGTATACAGAATTTTCTGTATACTGTATACGGAATTTTCCTTTTCAAATGTTCAGGTTGTTTGCTAGGTTTTTAAGCAGGCCATTTCGAGCTACTTGTGCCAAGAATGCTCCTCTTTAGAATAGAAAATCACTGTGGTAAGTAGCCTGTGACAAATACGTTATAGCTTCATTTTAATGGAGATTTTAAATTAGTCTGAAAAGATAAGAGATTTGGAGAGATATTGTTTCCCTTCCTTCCCTACCACCATAGGCCTCTTGTGAATCTGTGAAACCAGATTAACCCTGTTTGTGGCATCGTTTTTGTTACAAAACTCTTTGTGTTAGAAGTGGCCAGGTTTACTGATTAGAATTTTATGTTTGCAACTTAGTCAAACACACTTTTTAAAATATTTTTGTCTCATAACAGTGTTTTACAAATACTCCATTTCTCAAGACCTCTGGTCATAATTCACAGTATTGTGGCAAGACAATCCTGGGAGAAGACTGCTGGCTGGTCTTTAAGCTTTTGGGGTAACTCTCTTGCTGTAGTCTCTTTCAAGTAACTGTGGACATGAGAGCTCTTCCCTTTGTGCTTGCCTCTTTAGTTCCTTGTGGGGTGAGGTTTAGAAAGACAAAATTATGGAATTCTTATCCGGATTTGACCACTGTCAGCCAATTGATAAGATTAAACCTTGCTTTTTGAATCAGTACCAGGAGTGCAGTGCCTGTTGGGTCAGGAAGGACAGCACTGTGAGTTCATGGCCAGAAGGTTATTCCCTCATTCAACACTCCAAATTTCCCTACTTATCTTGCTAAGTTGCTAGTAGGCTTTTCAACTCTTGACTCCTGTAACAAACATTTAAAAGTGATCTAATGCTAAGTATTTATTAAAAAAAACATGTATTGGCCCAGTAGCTGAGCACTGTAAGGCACATTTTTGGTAGCTATTTT